TCTTCCGAGTGCCTAGTAAATCATGAGCCACTTGGTCCTTAAGCACTGCTTGAGCAAACATGACCACTGACGAGCTACTTCACCCTTTTAATGTGTCAGAAAATCTAGGCACATGAGGCACTGTATTACAGAATGCTCCCAGCACACAGCCTCTTCTGAATGCAGTGGTGCACATCAGCACAACATGTTGGTGTGGCACAGGGAGCAGCTGGAGCGTGGCATTCCTTAGTGAAACAAGACAAGGAGATTAATGTGACCTGAATACAACTGTTTAAATAAAAACTTGACTGGTACTTCAGAGTTAATCCTCATTACTGGGAAAAGAACTACATAAAGTCAAATAGTCACACCTAAGACTTGAGTTTCACATGTTAGCTACAAATTCGCATCCTCAAACTCTGTGCTGGCCCGCATGTTCAGTGCGGAATTTGAAGAAAAAAAAGATGCCACTAAGTGAATCGCCAGTATCTGTTCACACAGATGCCTGTTTTTTCCCTTCCATTCATGTATTTGACCAGGCTTGACCTACTTAGCTTCAAGCAGCTGGCAACAGCTTAGCCTAAAGATATGGCTCCTGACTCCCAGATCACACAGGAAATGTTTAAAGTGTCTCCTTCTTACGCTTATGCTTCCTTGTTTTTAACCCATTTGATAACGTCAGCAAGCACAGAAGTCCTCACATAAGACAAATGACTGTCAGCCTTACCATGTCTTTAAATGCCCCAAGAAAGGCAGCTGTAATGATCCCCAGAAACAACCCGATGATGTTGAGGACTGTGGAGGACCACAGCAGCCTATACAGGTGAACCACGTCCTGACAGCTGCTCACGCCGAGAAATTCGTAGTAGCTGGAGGACTGCTCTGAACTGAAAGGGAATGCAGACAGCGTCACTGCAGTGGGAATGGGTTTGCATATCATACAGAGCACCAGAGCATCTAAATCCCTCCTGCTTACTTTCCTCTTTGGTAAAGTACTTCATCCATGCTCCCACCAAACCCTGCTCAGATGAACTGGAGAAAGCCCTACTGTAGACAAGCATTGGTTGTGCTAATGCCAGCATTATGCACGTGGTCCAACTATTACCATCCCTAGTTTGGCTGATCGGTGTTGTGCACCAGCAGGGACTTTTTTTTCGCTCAGGGTGTCTGGTCCTGGCATATGGCTGCTGCCCTTCTCATTTAGCTACCAGCTAAAGCATCCTTAGCACTGTTTTTTTTCATAGCTCACCTGGAAATCTGCTGGCACCTCTGGCTCTGGGGAAGGCAAGTTGTTTAAGCATCAATTCAACCACAGGAAGGGAGATTTTGCCATTTTGCCAGCTGGCTACATTTGTTTATGGAGTCTGCGGTTCCAAATGAACAGATGCAACAGAATCACAGAATCACAGAATCACAGAATGGTAGGGGTTGGAAGGGACTGGTCCTGGCATATGGCTGCTGCCCTTCTCATTTAGCTACCAGCTAAAGCATCCTTAGCACTGGTTTTTTTCATAGCTCACCTGGAAATCTGCTCCAACCCCCCTGCCGAAGCAGGGTCACCTACAGCAGGCTGCACAGGACCTTGTCCAGGTGGGTCTTGAATATCTCCAGAGAAGGAGACTCCACAGCCTCCCTGGGCAGCCTGTTCCAGTGCTCCATCAACACAGTACAGCATAAAGATGTGCCTTTGCACTATGGATTGTACTATCCAGAAATCTTTGTTCATATTTCTACACGGTACACGTTATTGTAAATCAGGCATGTTGTGAAGTTAATCCGCATTGCCTTGCCGAAAGTCGGAAACATCCTACTGCAAAATCTGAAACCACAGTTTCCTGAAGTCCTTTCCAGCACCTGCGGTAATGCTAGCCCACTAATGAGCTCCTAGAGCAGCTATTTGAGTTGGAAAGATTTTTTAAATGCCAAGTCTGTTTTTGCACTGTTAGGAAATTGCCATCAGATTACGGTGGAAACCAGAAGTGAGAAGTTTGTGCTCACTCTTCTGTTCGTCCATCCCCAGCGCATGGGGCAGCAGTGGAGATGATGGTTAGGGAAAGCTCTGCAGAGGAAGGTAGTAGCCTGGAGAAAACCACAACATTTCTGGGAAGAAAGCGTAGTACTTCCTGGAAACGTCCAACCATTTGTTGTGGAGCATGGTTCTAGCATTGTGGATCTGCTACTGTTGAGTTCACTTGGGCCCTCTCATAAGCCCAGACGTTGCTCAACTAAATAAACCTACAGCTTCAGGTGCCATGAGGCTGAGGAAATCCGACTTGCAATCCTGCCTGCGTACCGCTATTGCATGGCTGACACCAAGTCACTTGGTGTGACTGTGTCACCTCCCACTTCTCTCTAGCCGTCCTATGAACTGGAATTGCCAAGTCTGTAGAGCAGCAAGACTGCTTCTTTACTCTGGATTTGCCCATGCCAGTGCCATAAGATCTTGCTGTCCACTGTGGATTGCTGACAACGGCAGAACACACACGTTTAACTATATCATTGAATACTGTCACAGCAGTGATCAGTCCCAGGTGTTTCAAACAAACCCAGTGTCTTAGAAAAATGTCACTGAGGATCTCCATCTGGAGGGGCAGTATTCCTGATCTCCATTTGTTGTTACATTATGCTTTAGACAACAGAGTTTCAGTCACTTTATTTGGTAACTCTGAATGCTTTCACCCTTTAAGACCCCTGTTCTCTTCTGTATTGGGTTGAGCTGTTAATGTGCAGCAGTTAGTTGTGTACCATGGAAGAAAGCATTCTCAGTGTAAAGACACTGCATTGTAGCTATGATGTGCTCTCTATCATAGAAAAGGTGCCAAAGCTGTGCATACTCTGCCTTTCCTGTGTCATTTGTTTTGCATTCCTCCATCATGTCCAAATTTAACGCTTCTTACACAAGCAAAAGACTCTAACATTCACAGGGGATTTTAATCCACTCCATAGACTTGTATTCACTTTGTGTCTCTTATGTGGATGAGAAATACGCGTGCATAGATGACTACCCTCCAGTGCCAAATTTCATTTTGCTTCTTTAGTTGAGGCAGGATCTGGGCAAGAGCTACTCTTTTAGGCAGAAACCTTGCGCAGAAGCCTCACTGTGCCAGCCTTCTACCCCTGCACCTAAAATGTTCACGTCTGGCAGCACGCTAGCCAAGGCTTACAGAGGACTGGGGTTATTCAGGGCTGCTGGCATGCAAAAAGGAGGCAAAACCAAAACAAAATAGGAGACATCGGAAGAAAGAAAGAAGAGAAATACATAGAGGGAAAGAAAGAAGAGTGACACTGGGTGAACTGTAGAAGGTTGCAGAGGTTGCATGAGAGCGCATGGTAAGGTAATACTGAGGTATGCAGAAGGTGACTCAGGCAGAAGATCTGCTCTGGTAAATTCTCCCCAGTTTCTTCTACGTGGCAAGACATGGTGCTGCTTGCAGTTGAAATCTCTGTGTGCCAGGTGGCCAGTCAGTTGTGCGAGTTCATTTCATCTGTCTTCTACATTATAAACCCTTGGATTTGGCTGTGATGCAGCTTTCCTAATCACCTTTTTTACTCCTGTTAAATCGCTGCATGGCAATCCTGTTCTAACCTTCAGCTGATCCTCATAAGCATATCCAGACATTTCCTCTCTTATCCTCTGACATCTGCTGCTTTGGTAATGATGAACTCGAGTGGACAGCTTCAGAAAATACTCACAAGACTCTGTATCTATCCTATGACAATTTAGCAAAATACTACACCTACAGAGCCTGTTGCTAACAGAAGAGCTCTGCATATGCCTATGGCATGATCTCTGCCCATGGACACTTATGTTCCTATTGTTTCCCTCAGTTTAGTAGAAAAAAAAAAGGATTAATTAAATCTAACTGGCAAATTGCATTGCAAGATCAACAGTAAATCTTGACTGAGTGGTTGATTTTGATCACACGGCAAAGAGCTTATGGATGCATTTAAAGAAAAAAAAATGAAATAATGCCAACAGCAATATGCAACCCCTGACCTCTTCTCTGAAATTCATCAGGACTCCAGTTGCAGAGGAACTGGATTGCTCAGCATACAAGCCCCTTGTGTTGCTTCTCCAGGCCTACGGGCAAATGTCCCCCATAACTTAAGAGCAGGGACAACAAACCAACCAAGGATTTGTTGGAGGCCATTAACTGCACACAGGTACTTACTTCTCACAGTTGTACAGGTCACAGCAATAGCATGTGTTACTCTTCACTTTCAGCTGGCACTTGCTGTTTAAGGTATAACACGTCACCTGCCGAAAAAGAAGAGACTGACTTTTATTCTCAGTATTTCAGTGCAATGTGTGAATCATCCTACTGACCACAAAGAAGCAGCTACTGCAGCATCAGGTTTGATTTACTGCTGTGCAGAAAGGTCCTGAGATTCCAAAATCCATGACTGCAGGGCAGAAAGACACCCCTGAGCTCCCAAAAGTTTCATTCGGGACATCAGCCCCCGAGTCTCGGGGCATTTGCACTATGGAGCCTGGAGCCCCCAGCACAGCCTGGCAGCCAGGGCTGCCAGAGTTTTCAGGCGCTTTGCTGCACTGCCTGGTGCTATTTTGCTAAGACCCAGTGTCTGCAGCTGCGAGGTGCAGATCCCTGCATGTCACGCTGGGACCACGGGTCTTGACAGATACACCACAGCAAGCCACTGAAGTGGGTAAGAATACCACTCCATTATAGTGAGGAAATGGGCAAAGAAGCCAATTTATCTGAACAGCTTCTCCTTTCAGTAGCACCCTCCTGAAGAAGGAAACAATCAGGAACAACAACAAGAAGAACAATCTTCAAAGCCACAGACAAAACCGCTCAGGAAAGATCCAAGCACTCCAAGCTCTTCAATATAAAACTGAAAAGGTTTATTTGTGTGAGCAGGAACTGCAGGGATTGATAGATGTTAGAAAAATAAAGGTAGGCACACATAGGTCACCCTCCGTGCAGACAAGAAATGACTCCTTAAGTGTGGTAAGCATATATCACTTCTATTTGGTCCTACAGACCAATTGAAATATTTTATATGCAAGACTTCAGTTTTCCTGAGATTTCTAGCTTATTGACTTTGAAATCCTGGAGAACTGTCAGGTTTTAAAATGTAGCAGGACAGAAAAGACATTCTTTCTGTAGTTTTCATTTTGATAGGAAAAATGTGCTCTAACCACTGAGAAGTATTTAGTTCACAAAATGCAAATAAAATGTATTATTGAATGGAAAATTCCTCATTATGAAAAAGTAGAAGGAGCATGCTTGGGAACACATGCCCGCTTTTGAAAAGCTTCTATCAGACAGTTCTGCTTAGCCATGACTGTGTTAGTCTGTGGGACAGTCTCCGCAGGAGATGTTAAACCATGTTTCTCAGCTCCTCATTTCTGGATCTGTGCATTCTTTTTAGTGAAAACTGCCACTGCTGGCGAGGCTGTAGTCCTCACGTGTTTGTTCCCAGCAAAAAGGAAAGTCTTAAACACACACACACTCAGCACCAGAGAAAATTCATCTTGCAGCTGGTCTCAGACTTGGCACACTTATTGTCCTTAGCAGGATTTGCTTGAGCAGTGGAAGTTGCAAGGGTGATAAAGCCACAAGTTAAAAGGAAGTTAAAATGATGCCTTGGGATTGCTTTGCATGCCAGCACAAGGCTGTACCTGTAGATAGTGTCTCATACAAATCAGCTCTTCTAACCCAAAATGGAAGTTAGGTAGGTTATAAAAGGACGGTCTCAGTCTAGGCTGCAATCTGGAAACAGACCTCACAGCTTGACACAGACACATCCCACTTGTCACAAGAATATCTCACCCTGAGACAGGACCTTGTTTCATCAGCCTCATTCTGTTGTGTCTGAAGTTGCTGGAATTTCACATAAGGGCTTTGTTGGCCTGAAGTTGCATTCAGCTGCAGCTGTCCTCAGCCCGAGCTGCAATTTACTGCAGAAAAGGAGTGTGCTACCCTCAACAGCTGCGTTGGTTTAATCAATATCCAGCTCAGAAGGAAATGAAACGTCACGCCTGGCCACTTCTCAGAGCACTGCCACCACAGCCATTTTCTTGGGACGCCCTAGTGCTTTTGCACTGAGTGGAACATAAGACTTTGGGGTTGACCCCCTGCATGCGGTCAAAATGGCCTACAACATGCATAGTTAAAATACGCTTTTCCCATTACACATGCGTGATTTGGATCGGAGGGCTTCATAAAGTGGAGTGGGCTGCTAAAAAGGTGGTTCGTTCTGATGCTTGGCTTTGGGGACTGCTTCTGACAGGAAATAAAAGTAATTTTCCCCTCCCTCTTCGAGCATCCATAAGGCCAGTTTGCTCCTTTTTACTGTGGAAGGTAAGAAGTACAAAAGAGGGAGACCAGCAAGATCTTAAACATGTTTTTAGCTGCTTCTAGGCTACAAGATGTATTAAATTATTGGCCAAGGGAGTTACTGTAGTTGTCTATTTTTATCACTGCATTTTTAAAACATGCAAAGAGCAAGACACTCCTTTTTAGGAGAACAGTGAATAAACCAAAATAAACAAACTACTGTGTGGTGTGAGCAAGGGTGGTGGAAACAGGCCATTTGTGGGTATTCTGCATGTCAAGACCTATTGTTTAACTTCAGTGACCAGACATTTAGCTTTTTCATGTTCTGGCTGTCTGTGCCTGTCTATCCCCTCAGCTCCAACTGCAGAGATGTTCTCACCTCATAGTAATTGCAAGAAAATCAAATTTTTTCTGCTTTGAGCAAAGAGAAGAACCGCAACAGGCAAACTACATGAACTCGAGACCACTCACAGGTAAGAGATGGCAATCAAAAGGAAACTTGCACTCAGTAAACAATGTGCCTTCCTAGTTAGATGTTCACCTGGTATGCAGAGCATGTCCCATGTTCACTAGCTGGCTAAGTCTGGAAAAGCAAAGGCCAAGTTCAAATGCTATGGATCATTAACTCTGAATTAGCACATGCTGACTCTAGATCAGTGGACAACCAGACAAGAATGTTATTATAGACTAACTACACTTTTAAAAGATATGGGGGTTTTGCCAGAGTAGAGGAAGGAGCTCTGGGTGGCCCAACTTTAGACATTGCCAGACTCTGCAGAGCTGGGAAACCAGAAGCCGGAGTCACCAGCAGGGAGTTGTGGTCAGCGCAAGGCCAGCTACACGCTTATTGCAGGAATCAGAAGCATTTCTCAGGCCATGTCTGTGTCTGAGTATTCAAGCACACTTCAGAAGAGGATGGAGTAAAACTTACAGGACAGGGTGTTGCCACAGATGATAAGTTTGTCTGGGTAGGTCTTTAGGCAAGGAGGTCAATGGAATTTTTTTGCCATACTTTTTCTGGAATCAACAACAGGGTGCCCTAGCAGCAAGACTTAAGCAGTGTTAGTTGCTTAATCTGGTAATACACTTTCCTAAGCTGTCTAGAATCAGTAACAGTAACATTCCCCATACACTTTTTCTCAGCCATGGAAGGAACGGTGATGAAGGACATCTGGCTTCTTGTAAGTTATACTGCTCTTTAGCTGCTTTCAGTCCTGCTTTGCTTGATTTCCTTTTCACTCTCACCAATTTACCACAATAATAAAATGAAAAATAGGAAAAGAAACTAAAGCTGGACTTCTCAGGAGGCTAGCCATTTAGGTACAGGCACTTTTCTGACCATGTTAATGTCACTGAGATAATAAAAAAAGCTGCATTCAAACTGCTGACATTCTTGGCCTGTGCTGGATGAATACAGAGATTTGAATCTGGACAATGCAAATGGATTCATTTAGGTATTTCTTATCCCACTCGAAGTCTACAAAAACCTCCTCAGAAAAAGATGCCAATGTGACAAATACATTCCAGACAGCTATTATACAGTATAGATGGACTAGGAATCATTCCAGTCGCAGAGTAATGTACTGGATAGAAACACTGATGATGACTCAAAACCTCACTGTTTGTAATGATTTGTAGCCATGAGAGGCTTGGACAAGCAGGGAGTCACTTGTAGGAGAAAAAACAGTAGGGTTTCTATCAACCTGTGACCTACACGCACAGACACGCTCTCAAACACTTGCTTCCCTCCACCCCAGCCCCTCAAAGCACAGCAGAAACAAACACATGTTGAGGTGAGTTTGTTTACCTCTGTCTGGTAGGCATCGTATAGGAATCCTATTCCACTTGAATAAAACTGACACCTTTTGTTGTACAAAGGTCTGGGTTCCTGCAAAGAGAAAAAGAGCCAAAAAAGTACTCAGTCTGGAGGAAGTGTGGAGGCACCATGCCCCATGTCCCCGTGCCAGAGGCTTACCCCTCTGTGTGGCCGAAGCCAGTGCAGACACTTGGTTAAGCGGCTCACACCCCCCTGTGTTGGCTTTCTTTCCAAAATGGCTCTCCTCAGGGTTACATTTTCCCTCCTACTCTGCCACTGAGCTATGTGAGTATCATTTATTTTTCTCTGTATCAGTCACCTTTTCTAAGAAGACATCACCCCTGGTATTTAACCACTTCCTTCCCTGATGTCAAATAGTACTGCTCTATGAGAACAGTCCAGTCACTCTTTTTCCTGGTACAGTTTCTTACCTAGCACAAAAAAAATTACTTGCGATTTGTCTTCAAGCTATGGGACTTTGTTTTTAAAGGATTTCAACAATGTCCATAGTGAAAACAAATTAAAATAGCTAATACTTTAAGCATTCCACTTACTATACACACTTCAAACCCCAAAAGCAAAACAAAAAATAATGATAAAATGAAGGCATGAAGGGGAAGCGATTTGCACTGTTTGTTTTTGCCTTATTTTCCATTTACGCTTATTGCGAAAGATGCATTCACTGCTCATATTTCATATTTTGCTTGTAACAGTTCCCACAAGCTGTCATAAAGGAAGAATACAATGAAATGCCCTGGGCCAGATGGAAGATGTGTCTTCCCAAACTCGGCGAATGGCCACGTGAAGGCTAGAGGGTGCACACCCCAGCCAGTTTCAGGTCTAAGCCATATTTGCCTAGGGAAGATTTAATGACAGAAGAATCCCCTTTGATCACATATCTATCCCAAAGCAAAGTGTGGGAATGACTTATGCTGGCAAAAAACCAGTGTTTTTCAACCTTCTGTCACTTATCTAGTCCCGATCTTTGCCTTCAAATGTACTCAAGTGCTCCCCAATATGTCAGTCAGACCACTTCCAAGAGAGAAGACGGAAACCCACTGTCGCCATCCCCTCTTTCCATGCTAACTTAAAAGCAAAGGACTGCTTCGGTTGTTAGCAGCAGTCTATGCTGATTAACTTTCACTACATTTTAAAGCTTTATGACCCATTCAGGAACAACTCAGAAACTGCAGAAAGATCTGCACTACTTCAGATCACTTCTGACTATTCTATGTTTGTTGGATAATGAAGTGTGAACTGTATAAATCTGCTGACCCAAAATACATAATCAGTGAAAATGCAGAGCTAGGCAGGA